GGGCTTAAGAGGTTTAATCACTAATCTATACATTTTTCCACTTTTTGAATTCCGTCATAATTTAGACTGAATCGTCCTGATGTCCACTACAATGGACATGCTGTGAAATTTTAATAAAAAATTATATAAAAAAAATAAAATGGTAAGGTGTTCATTTTGGCCTAAATAGGTAGGAAATCACATAAACACAGAAATTGCAAGGCAAATTTTCTTCTTAAGTTCTCAGGAGGATATGCATTTTTCCATTTTTTAAGGATTTAATTGACCCATTACGTTTACTATAAAATAAACACAGAAAGAATACTTTCCAGAAAACACATACTGTAGTTTTAGTTCAATGTGTGCTGAAATGGAAACCTGTTACCATTTAAACCTCTGAATCCAAGCACTGAGCACCCACTGTTCCTGAAGTGATGCTTCCACAATGCAGTTTATTTTTGTTTTCAGGCCAGAAAACCAAAACTTTCCCTTTCGGTGCTGGCAGAGCCAGAGAATAGTTTGGTTTCTTGGTTTCCTCAATGAAACAGAGAGAGAAGTCCGAGTTGGAGAACAAAGCAGAGAGGCCACATCCCTAAAACAGAGGTGGCACCACTCTGCTCTCTTTCTCCTTTTCCTCCTTTTCCTCTCCACTCACAGCCTTCACCCTTGGTCCCGTTGTAGCACTGGCACTTGAAGTGCTGACGGAAGGCCTTCAGCTCTGCTTGGCCTGGGGATCCCGTGACCTTCAGCTTTCCGCTCTGACTTATGATCTTGTGAGTGGTGGGGCTGAGGTGCAGAAACACGGCGCTGTCCGGTGCTCGGCGAAGACAGCGACCGTTAAATTTGCACAATTTCTGGCTGCACTCCTTTGCTGCTGTGGTCACATTGAGGAGGTAGCGTCCCATTGGTCCCCGAAAATAGTTATTCAAGTCAGAACAGCCGCTCTGCAGCACGGAGGATAGATATTAACTTAAAAATACATAACAGCAGCATATGCAACATGAGAGAACTAGGGAAAGTAATTCTCTTACACTAGTTTTATAGGAGGCGTCCCCCGAGAAGATCACTCCTGCAGCTCCCAAAGCAACGCTCTCGCCAATGGTGGAGACCAAATCTTTCTGCAAAGGATGTATATGAATACTTTAGTTGTATAAGACGTATTATAGAGAAACTTTGCTCATTACATATAGAGCTTTTGTTCTATATGTAACTACAGCCCAGAATTAAA